AAAATATATGAACAGATAGTATATGCATGTATTTCAGAACCTAAAAATGAGTTTATTAGAAACACAAATACTGTTAAAATATGGATTCTCATTTGAAACTTTTGAATTTTTAGTCTGTCATAAAATTATTGATAAAATTCAAGTAAAGATATTTTTATTATTGTTTTACTTTTATAATAATTACTCTATTATTTTCAAAATCGTGATTTTATAAAAAAATAATAATAATATTAAATTTCGAATTGCTCGAAATCGGCTCATTTGGAGGTTTTGTCGTTTCCTATTCTTGAAAATGTGTAAACATCTTTTCATCATTAGACTCTAATAAAGTGAAGAACTTAATTCTTCAAAGAGTGATTGTTTATAACAGGAATTATACTATCTAAAAATTCAAAACCAAACATAGGATTTTTATGGCTCACATATTTTGATTTGATTTTCTACTGAAGGAGTTTAAAGTAATAGTTTTATCATTAATTATCAATTCTTTATTATTCTTAATTTGTAATGATAAAAATAAACATTTCTCATTAATAAAATAATTGCCAAATTTTCTTTAAAGTGGTGACACTGATTCTTTATGTTCTTTAATTTTAAACTACTTGTACCCACTGCAAATTTTATAGTTCCATTCCTACTTTCACAAAGTTTACAAAAAGTATCTTATCTTCTTCATTAATGGTTTCAGTTTGCTGTGTGTGTGTGTGTCTTTAAATTTACAATCATCATTTATTCATTATCTGATAATTCAATAATTTCTATTGTTGGAATTGAAATAGTTGTTGCATCTTCACAAAAAGGGACATTTAACGAGAATAGTTCTTGAATCATTTTATATTTTTTTAGAGTTGGATTTTCTTTTACGAGCGACAATCTTTTTGAATAGTTTTGGTTTGGCATTTTTAAATGAATTATAACCATGAAATAATGATTTCGGCGAAGAAGGGTTATGCTAAATAATCAATTATTGGTCCGGATAGTATAAATGAGGATTGGAACCATTTTAAAACAATAACATTAGCAAACTACATTAATTATCTGCAGAGAATTTTCTTTATATTATTCATAAAAATTATTCTCGATAAAATTTTGTTAAGCCAGTTTTTTAATCGGAAAATTTGAAGACCGATCTTTTAACCCTAATACTAATTGTAGTGATTATATCCATCGGATATCCGAATTAGTATTAGGATATTTTGCCGATTACGATTATCATTATCATTATCATTATTATTATTATTATTATTATTATTATTATTCGTTCACAAAAATTTGATAACCGGCTGTTTAATCATCAATAAATTTGATATTGATATCTGGATAATCGTGTAGTAGTGGTATTAGTATACTAATACTAATACTAATACTAATACAGATATCCGCGTAAAAAAATAATTTTTTGTCTTGTGAATCTGATATTTTAAAAAACAAACCTCTACTGTCAAATATATTCCAGACACAACCAATTGGATTTTAAAATTCGTTATATATAAAGTAAATCTTTGTGTTTTTAGTTTCATCTTTAAAAAATACAAACCAGTGCGATGGCCAATACTTTACATTAAATAAAAATTGTTCCTCGCGACATAATTGATTGGTTTATGCTTAAATAATTAATAATTACTGCTCGAACATGACGCGTTTTTGTTGTTTTACGCTACATAAATAAATATACCTCGCGTGCTAAATAAATGTTGTTCTGCTGTCAAATAATCACGCCTGTTTGTCTTTTGAATTTCAATATTGGATAAATAGTCGTGTTTAAATTTCATTTTCCTTTGGTATAATAATTGATTTGTGCAAATTTTTATTGGTTAAAAGCATTGATCGACATTAATACCACGCTGGACATATTCGTTTTTTAATATAATAATATACTGTATATATATTATTACTAATTATTTTTTTATTTTTGTTTTATAGGATTGTATAAATAATTCATAAATAATTTATAAAAAACGAAATTCTTTATATAATAATAAATAATAATAATAATTTTTATCACATACATAATTAGGCATTTCTATATCTGAACAATCTAGCCGTAGCACGACGACGATAGCGGTATTAAATAATGAAGAAATAGAAGCAATGAGAATTGTATGCAGGGTAGGATTATTCTTTTAAAGATTTTTTTAAAACAAATAACATTTATTTTGTATTCATTCATCATATTTATATTTTTGGTAAAAATAGCTTGCTCGTGAAGTATTGGATATTGGAGCAGCAGCAGTAAGGCCTGGAATTACAACTGATGAAATAGATAGGATTATTCATGAAGCAACTATTGAACGTAACTCTTATCCATCACCCTTAAATTATTATGAATTTCCAAAATCTGTTTGCACGTAAATACAATATCAATGTTTTAATATTAATGTTTTGATTATAATTTATTAATTTAACGAACTTGACTTTTTGTAAACCATTTAGAT